TAGAAATTAATTACATAGAATATTAATTTCTCTTCCCCATGCTTGCGATGTTGACATGTAGTAACAGTAAGACTGATTTGTGCTGAAGTCCTCTTTTTTCTGTACAGCTCCATTTTTAAAAGTTATTTGGGGGTTTTCAATTATTGACAGAAAGATTGCATAGCTCACCTGGGGGATATGATGTTTGAACCAAGCGTCATCAAGGCGACTCTCCCGCCGAGTGCGCACAATGATTCTGCTGAAGTGGTAGTTCCAGGAAGTGGAGAACATCCCAAAAATACTGAAAGCAATTTAGCCTCAAATTCTAATAATGACGGAAGGCAGAGCCAAGTTGTCCGTAGTGTATATAGTTGAAGGTACAGACAAAAAAAACCTGCAAACCTACTTTTCCCACACACAAAAATCTGCAGGAATTGATAAAGAACTGCATAATGGCTTCAGCATCAATCCCATATCGTAAACAGGCCTCAGTACAGCACATCGTTGCACATACACAGGGTCAAAAATGGTGCTGAGTTTTCCCAGTCTCTGATTACTTCTTGAAGAAAAATAGTTTGCTCATCCCAAAGTGAAGAGTTTTATTATCATCACTTGTAGAAACTGAGCTCATGATGCAATTGGCGCCACTCCGTATCTTAAAGGTTAAGCAGCTGCGGTCACTCAGAGCAACACAAACACGCTCCATCTCAGCTCGCATTCAGCATCAAAGCTGGACCGTGGCCGTGCACAGTGTGATTCAAACACCAAGTGTGAGTGTGTTGCAGATGAACCGCTGAGAGAGCACAGTGTGCGGACAGACTGTTTCCTCTGTCTCGGGCCTGCGATTTCCAGAGACGACAGCAACGCTCTGAATCTGCGTGAAACCCTTTCATCTAACCTAATCAATGCTGTTCCTCTAATGATGACAAGAATGATGAGTTTAAGTGCACCCAGGCTGTATTAATGGATGCATGGCCGCACCCACAACACCGATCAATATGCTACAGACACTTCAGAAAATGACTCTGGATACTCAGGGTGGTGTCAGTTCCCCCATTTTCCTCTTCTCTTGTTATCTGTTTAAGTGATTTCAGCCACAGAGGTCAGAGGCGGCTTAGACTTGGAGATTATTACGTGGCTCCATGAGTTTAAACTGGAGTTTAACAATATCTTAAAGTCGGGTTGTGCTGAGGAAAGCAAAAAAAGTATTTTACAGTGAACTTAAATGCACTAGCAGCTTAGGAATGGCAGACTTTCAAAACAAAACAAAAAAGTCACAAAAAGTTGTAATGAGAGAGAGATTTTTTTTAAAAAGGATAGAAAAGGCATTTTGCACTCTGGGTAGTCACCCCCTCTGTCAGGACTGTTTCTTCCCCACCTATTTTCTCCTATTCCATGTCCACACTTTCAAATGCTGTTTTAAAAATGCACAAGTCAGCAGTATGAGTCAGAGCTGAAACACAGCCCATACAGGCAGCTGTAGGTGACATTTCCATTAAGATGTCACGCAGGAACAGGAAAATTACCATGTGATATCCCCTGCATATCAAGAGACTCTGAAAACAGTGATTTGGCCCATAACAGTTGGACTTTGTTCATTTGTTCTGCTTTATTTTTGCTTGTTTTCATCAGATAAACATGTTTGTCAAGAGATGATGGACTGAATGAATGTTCGGCACAAGAGAAGTCTTTGGGAGCAGAAGATTATTTTCCATTTCAAGGATTTTATAATTTTTTTAGTACAATAATCATTAAACATTTGTTTTAAGATAGTGTTTATTACCATCTTGTGCACATGAGTTATCTTCTTGTGTAATTAAGATATTATCTCGAGTGTACAACCAGATTGAGTACATGTTATCAACTTAAGACTAGTTGTGTTTACTCTCCATCTCTAACCATGAAAAAGATATAATATTTACTCTTGGCTCCTACATGCTGTCTGCTCAGAGAACAGCAGCAGATCATGTCTCTTTAGGCTAAATGGCTGATGCAGTGAGAGCATGATTGTATCTTTTATTTTATTTATGCTGATTTCTTGTGCAATATGGTAAATATGCACTGTGTGTTTTTTGTTGTGCCTTTTTGTACGCATTTCCATGTTTGCATGGGGATTGTTGTTGCTTTTAGAGGGTTTATTCAATGGAACTATTACAAAGGCAACTGAGCATGTGCAGCAATTGAGTCTAAGAAATGTCCTTGTATTATAAGAATTGTGTCACATCATATAGAAAAGGCAACTGTGCATGTGCAGCATCTAAACCCTAACATTTGCTACAAGAAACTATGGTGTATCTTATCACATCATATCATAATGTTTCAAATCATATTTTATTGTGTTATTTATTATATAGTAGCATATCACACTGTATCACATGTTGTTGTATCATATAATATCATACATCGTTACCATAAAATTATATCATATAGCATTTCACATCATATCTTTATTATATCATATTAAACCTTTTCTTGTATTTTATTGTATAGTATCATACTGTAGCATATTTTACAGTATTGTGTTTATTATGGTATCATATCATATCATATCATATCATACCACATCATGTCATGTATCATTATCATAACAGCATATCTTATCATTTGATCATTTTAATATCGTATCATATTATTATGATCATATCATATCATATCATTTATTTCCTATCCAGGTATCTGTGGTATCATATTATGTTGTTTTGTGTTGTGTCATATCACCTGTCAGGTTTATATAGTATATACTATCCCATCCTATTGTATCATATTTCATTATATCACATCATATCCTATTGTACCCTGTCCTGTCTGATATATAGAACCTAACTGAACCATATCTCTTTAGATTCTAACATCAGGTCTCTCACAGTTACTTTGTGATTGAGTCTAGGAATGATTTTCCCAAAGGGTAAATAAGCTGCATAGTATACTATTGTATACTTAGCTATGGTATCATAGGGCCTGATCCACTAAAGGTTTGCGTGTGCAAAAGGGTGTGCAAACTTGATAGCACACGCAAACCTGATTTACCAACTGGGTGCGCCTAGGATTGAGTCTGTCAAATGAGTCGCACTGATCAAAAGAGATGAAGTCTGACATACTAACACAACATCCTTCATGACAGTATCTAGACCTTAAACTCCTGCCTTGATGAAAAAAATCAGCTAAAACTTTCTCTGACTCCCACAAAAACATCTGAGTCCAGCCTTTCACCTTCTTTTTGGAGTCAAGCAATTAATACTGTGATCAACAGCTGAGGGTAAAATCTGGTTTAGGCTGATTTTTGCAGCACCAGTGAAGAGAGCTGCACTGAATAAGCTTCTGCAGCCAGTCTGCTCAGAGAAGGAAAACGTCTCCTTCAGACTGACAGCTGACAGAGTCAGCCCCAGACAATTTCTTTATATCTCTGTCAGTTGTCTTAAAATAGACAGGGAAACAATCCCCAGGTAATACACCCTTTACCTGTTGTCATGTAAACTTCTGGACCAACAAAATTCAATTGAAACAAAGGCTGACAGATATATGCTGGCGCTTTGTGACTTCTGGTCCTGCAGGGAGTTTGAACCACAATATAGGGTTCAATTACCAGAACCTGTACTCAGGGTAGCATCAAGCTGTTAGATATAACTCCAAATTGTGACAGAAGATATGTGTTACTCTGAAACCCCCTGGGCTGAAACATAACACTACTGTAAAAGTGCCAAAACCTGCAGTTCCTCGAGTGGCCACCTGAGGTTGGCTACAAAAGTGAGTCAATCCCCATTAAGGGCTTAAATGAAAAGCTTTACTGCAGATAGATAATTGTCTTTGTTGCTAAATTCTTGTTCAATACCACAGCATGAAAAGTGAAGTCTAGAGAGCAGTAAATCAGGTCCACATATCAGGTCCCATCCCCTCCTTTAGTCGCGGCTGTGGGCGTTTCAGTCGGCTGCTGGCGCTGCACACCTGGCTCTCATCAACCTGAGCTGCACACGGTGTGAACTATATAGACAATTTTTTATCTTTTGGAAGAGACGAGAACTCATCAGGGGCGATGGAGTTGGCAAGGGGCAAAAATGCTTGCAGGAAACATTTTAAACAGAGTCCACCACCCATATGTATGCATATGCACACACACACACACACATCCCCCACTAACACCAGAGCGAAAACTCAACATGGCACTTTTAAATGTATTTGAGTACCATTCCTTTGTTTTTAGCAGTCCTCCTATATTTTGTTTAACTGTTTACAGGCCACCCAAAAACTGCTCTGCTTTTATCAGTGAATTTTCAGAACTATTATCAATCATTCATTCAAAGTACTCTTTTAGCTCTGAATTTTTAAATCCTATTAATTTTATGAATTTTAAGCAGCATGTATCGAGCTCCACCCACAACAGAGGAAATATATTGGATCTTTTAATAACCTTTAGGTTATTAGCCACTGTGTCCTCTGTTGTGGATGTGGGATTGTCCGACCATCCCTGTGTGTTTTTCAACGTAATGGATTTTATCCAGCAGGGGGCCCCAGAGTGTACTGTCAGGAAACACTATCTTACTTCTGGAGTGGCTGCTACGGTGGCCTGGAAGGGCAAAACACAACCGCGAAAGAGAAAACACGACATCCAATCAAAACGCAACTGCAAATCACAAAACACGACAGCAAAAGAGAAAACGCAACCGCAAATCACAAAACACGACAGCAAAAGAGAAAACACGACAGCAGATCAAAACACAACCACAAAAGAGAAAAAGCAACCACAGATTACAAAACGCAACTGCAAATCACAAAACACGACAGCAAAAGAGAAAACGCAAACGCAAAAGAGAAAACGCAACTGCAAATCACAAAACGCAAATGCAAAAGAGAATTTTTAGTATATTTTATTTTTATTTTTTTAGTATATCTTAACACTATTTGTTTATTTTCTTTTATTTTTTGATTTTACAACAGTTTATATAATATCTATAATAATAATAATTATTATTATTATTATTGTTTTATTTCCTTTTTCCTATTATTTTTTATATCTTGTCATGGTTTTATCTGTTTAGCTTTAGCTCCAGTGTAGGTACGGGCATTAACGGATATGACGGGTCTCCTAGAAAGAATACAGGTATAGGGTCTTCATCTTCCACAATCCGTTGTTTGTAGAGAGGGATACGGCCAGTCTTAAAATGAGAGTTCAACTGGGAATTAGCAAAAACCCTGGCATCATGAACACCACCTGGCCATTTCACGACAACATCAATGAACTGATATTTGTAGCTGCATGTGGCTTGGACGTTCAGTGAATGCTTCTTTTTTCTGTTGAGGTAGTCCATAGAGTTACTGGATGGCTCCTTAATGTCTATATGGGTCCCATCAACCGCACCAAGGCACTGGGGCAAACCATGGGCATGGTAAAACTCAGTGACAAGTTCTTCTATTTCTGCTTCGGAGAACAGCAACTTGGTGTAGGTGTGCCCCAAATGGACAGTTATGGCTGTGCAAACCTGAATGAAGGAATGAATGAATTAGTTTCAAGTACAGATGATTAAGTACAGTAAGTACATTCAGAGGCAATGTAAAAAGGGACAACAAAAATGTACTCCTTGTCTCTCTCTCTCTCTCTCTCTCTCTCTCTCGCACACACACACACACACACACACACACGTTACTGCTCCTTCACTCACTCTTTCCTTCTCCATAACTTCCCCTCTCATTCCATTCCTCTCCTGCCTTATCTAGTCTACAAGTCACGTTAGCTAGAGTGGATTGCCTAGTGTTGCTACTTAGCAACTAATGTTAGACAACATGCATGGTAACAAAATGACTGAAAACAGTGCCAGTGGCTTCCGTTATGAGCACTTACCTGTCGAACGATCTTGGAGACACATTGTTGGGACAAGCCAAAGGAATTCGCTGTGTTCCTCATTCTGCCTTGGTCACTGAGGTAGTATGGTGTACAGGCTACCTTCGTCAAAACATCCACTGGGGCTCGCATCACCGTAACTTGCCCTTCAATGCGAGGCGTAGGAGCTCGGCCAAAGAAACCAGCGATGGCTTTCATCTGCACCATTCATCTGCAGGCACAGCCCCTCTAACGAAGTTGTCCCACCACTTGCTGGTCTGACCGGGTTTGACCCAAAACTTAAGCTTCTGGCAAACTTTAAAACGCCTAATGTTAACGTTACGATTGCTCTCCAATAAAAGTATTGGGCGCAGCAGACGCCTCTGTGAGCTGGCTGACTGGTGGATGTAATTGTATAAAACAAGGTACACTTGCAAGGCTGAAATTAGCCCCAAAAGGGCAAAACAAACGTAAAGAATACCCTGTATGTCCGCCATTGTTGTTTTTGTTTTTCTCTGTAATTCTCTTGCGCAAGCTGCGGTTTGACGTCATCGATCCGTAAAAGTTCAACCACACAAATCCACTTATACAGATATTTTTTTATTTCTCCACTTGTTTTTTTCTGATTCAGATTTATCCGGTTTGAGTGTTCCAAACTCCTGTTTTGGTGTGGTAGGGAGGCCTAATCGGACATAAATATGTGCGGTTTGAAATATATCTGCATTTGTGTAGTTGGGGCCTAAGATAGCGTTTCCTAGGTCCTCTGTGGCTTCCTGTTGAGCCCTGACTTGGTGTCCCGATGGTCGTGAGAGTGTGTGTGTGTGTGTGTGTGTGTGTGTGTGTGTGTGTGTGGACGGGTGGGTGGGGGGTCTCTGTTAAATGCGGGCTTGGAGGGTTGGTGGGTGGGCTTTTTGCAGCTTGTATTTTATTTCGTATCCCCTGTGTACAGCACTTTGTGATACAAGCTATGTATGAGAAGTGCTTTATAAATAAAATGATTGATTGATTGATTGATTGATTTATTGATTGATTGATTGAAGTCTACAGATGAATCCAGCATGAGGTTTGTGCAGCTTGCGTTGCGGCCATTACCATGGTTTCTCGTGTTATCGACCCAACATTTAACACCACATAGTGTAATCATCTGTCATTGTTTAGTTAGCAAAATAGCTTTAATCCATCAAATTTTAACATTCCACCCTGGATTATGGTTGCTAACTAATTGGACTTGGTCTAAAGTCTGTCTCCTGTAGAGGTGGATGGCAGCCTTCAGCAGCAGATGAAGTTGTTTCAAACTGCAGACCATCAACCCAGATAGCAAACGTACATCGTGCCAACTTCGGCATATCTAGTTTCATTGCCAAGATGTAGCAAGGAGAGCGTTTGCTAATTGCCTCAATCTCGCAAGGATGTTGATCTAAAATGACTGACACACGATCTTTGGACAATTATTAAAAGTTGTAGTGCAAGACCTTTATTTATAGGTCGAAGCTTTACTGTAAATACACAATGCAATATCAATAAAACAATGCCGAGCTAATACCGACTACTAATAATGAAGAGCCATAAGTCAAGTCAAAACACTTCATTGTCCGGACTTGGCACAGACAGGAGAAACAAACACCTGCAAAACGGTACACATAACCAGTTCTTCCTTCGGCAGCCTGCACAAGCCTCAAAAAAAACGTTTTTTGGTCCATAGTGAAGAGAGGACCATCGCTTACAGAACTATTTAGCTCGGTCTTGTCAAATATGTAGCACTGTTTTCATAAAATGTGAGTCTGCTACATCCCACTGGCTCTCCAAGCGTCTTTGGTTTGAGCTCAGATGCTACCACTGACAGAATCTCATTCATAATGGCAAACTGGCTTATGAGCCATCTATATAATTACCCACACAGCCTGTTTAGCTTGAAAACTTCACACGCCAACCACCAACCTGTTCTGTGCCACTTTTCTGTCTGAATATTTCCCAGAAATCTGAAATAGCAGCAGCCAAACTGTTGCATTGAAGCTTCTGGTAGATGCATCTGTTCTGTGGTGGCATACACTGTTCTTACACTGTTTCAAGTTTTGTACAGATTTGTGTGTTTTCTTCAATTTAATTAGTGAAGCAGTATTACTTTTCAGACTCAATTTGAGCTGCATGACTCTGAACAAGAACTTTCAATCATTCTTTGACTCATCCCGAGCCCATGAATGCAAATTATTGCAAACTTAGTTATCCTTACCCGGTTTTTATTTCCCATTCAGCCCGCTCATAATTGAAAAGAAATTTTGAAGCAAATGTGACTTTAAGGTGTAATAAAAGTGGGCATCAACTGGAGGAAAAACAGACCATAAACTTTTCTCTTTCCGTGAAATGAAGTAAAATTGGCTCAATTAATCTGCACAGTCACACATGCATGAAGGCGTCTGATGAGGCGCTGAGAGATGAGATTGACGGATAAGATGGATGGATATGAGCCCCCCCTAATGAAACAGATGTGTGCTTTAATTGGTTCGGTGATATTTGTCAGGCATTTTAAAAGTCTGGCACTTTAAAAAAATTGGATTTTGGAACCAATTTGCTTCCTCAGACTCCGTCTTATTCATCAGAGTGAGGTGGTGCAGCACAGGGCGTCAAAGTGAGAGCGATACGTGGTACTGCTCCCACCTTCCTCAGCACTGCGGCTTTAATCAAGACAGATTATTACACATGGGAAAAGTTCATCATGGCAAAAAGCTGTGAAATAGAGGAGAGTATTTTATGAAGCCTCATTTGGTAATAGCTTATTTCAGGTTTTTGAATGGTGCTCAATCAAATGCAAGGCCAGAAGCATGTTAAAAGAGCGGATGTGAACAAATGTCAGTTGCAGAGTATATTTTATTCTCAGTCTTGAATGATTTTTAAAGCTGCATAATATGGTCTTTAATGAGAAAGCAAAGATACCTGACTGTACATGCTTTAAACCACAATGAACACATCGTCAATAAACCTAATAACTCCATGCTTTAGAGATGTATGTGACCCCTTCTTCCGTTAGATTCAATTCTTAACAATCTTTATAAAACTTGATCATAGCCTAGATACATAGACGCCGTTTAAAAGCAGTAGAGAAAAAGGGTATGTCTGATTTTTTGTCAAAACTGTATGCTGTTTTCTTCTTTATCTTGGTGACTTATGTCTGCAACGTGCAAGGTGACCTCAAGCCGCAGGTGCAAACTACAAAACTCTCCTCATTCAATTCAATTTGTTGTGGACTCAGACATTCATTTCTGCAGATTTGCTTGCATGCTGAATGTGTTTTGAATCTGCCGCAGATATCAGGTAAGGATGCCCGCTTAGTGCCTCACAGTAGTGGAGATAAATCTGAGGGAGAAAATTACTCAGGCGGTTTTTGTACTTAGCGGGGCGCACTGCCCAAATGTCAACACTACATGAGGGATTAGGACAAAGAAATGGCAAAACAGAGATGAACATAGGGTGAATAAAAAGCACTGCTATCATTCCCTTTTGAATTAAGCATCTTATAAAAATGCTCATGGTAGATCTTTTCCTCTAAACTTAGAGAATCAACTTTGAATTTGTAATGCGGAGAAAAACAAGAACGAATATGCCAAGAAATCAAACACTATCTTAGAAATGTCCATTAAACTATTAGTTTCATTGTCAGGTATCTCATGCAGGATGCTGTTTTATATTAAAGTTACACCTTAAACTGCTGAGTCACCAATCATCAGGTCTGGTCCAAGTCTCAAGTTCAAGTTTTTGAGTCGTAGTCCAAGTTGAGTCACAATAACTAATACAAATCAGAGTCAAGTTGACTGAGTTTAAATTAAACATAATACCCCACTTCCTGAGTCTAAATTGAGTCCTAATTACCTGATTCCAAGTCCTCATTACCTGACTCCCAGTCTTTACTGAGTCCCTTTTACCTGAGCTGAGTCCCCAATTCCTTAGTCCTACTTGAATTCCCATGAATCTTAGTTGAGTTCCAATCACCTAAATCTAGGTTTAGTTCCCATAAAATGACTCCAAGTCTGGGACTACGTGACCTGAATCCAAGTCAGAGTCCAGTCCTCAAAACACAAGTTACCTGTGTGCTTGAGTTTCCTGAGTCCAAGTTGAGTCTGATCTGAGTCTGAGTACGATCTCCATTTTCTGAATCTGAGTGGTTCAAATTATTCTTGGTCAGACCCCTATTTCCTGAGTTACCTGAGTTCCATTCACATTACCAAAGTTTGCCTGAGTCCCCATGAACTAGTTCAAGTCCCCATGGCCCGGAGTCAAGTCCAGATGACCCAAGTCTGTGATGAGTCTCTATGACTTGACATTGAGTCTATCTTTGACTCTCTAACTAAAGTCTGGGTTCCCATGCAAGTCAGAGTTGAGTCCCATAGCTTTAGTTCCCTGGTTTGACGAGTCACTATGATCCAAGTTCAAACCATTTCCCAACTATCTGAATCAGTGATGAGTCCCCATGACTGAGTCTGGATCTCTCTTAAGTGAGTTACCTGATCTTAGACCCTATTACTTTTGTGACTTGAGTTGCATTCTCATTTCCTAAGTCCATGCAGAGTCCCCGTGACCTTGTCTAAGTCTGAGCCTGAGTACCTGTTCCCTGATTCCATAATCATTGTCTATGACTTAAGCTAAGTCCATATTTTTTTGATTCATAGCAAAGTCCCCTTGATATGAGACCAAGTCAAGTGTCCTTTATCTGAGTTGAAGTCACTTATCCAAGTCTTCTATGAGTCCCTGTGGGCTTGGCCTGAGTCTAACCCTTGGTTCCAGTTACCTGAATCCAAGATTAGTGCCCATTACCGAAGTGACCTGAGTCAAGGCCCCACTGTTTGAGAAATTTGAGTTAAGTCCCCGTTGCTTGAGTTGAAATTGAATCCCAACTTCCTAATCCCAAGTTTTCACTTTTTGCTGTCTGAACCTGGACTGACTGTGTGGACGAATTGGATGTGTAGAAAACACTTCTTCTCACTCAGATTCAGTCCTGACTGATCCTGTCAGCTATGGTGGGATCACTGCGGGTGTCTAACTGAGTCAAAAATACCTCTAATACGTCTCAGACTCACTGGTTGAGTCACCTTGGAGGCTAACAGTATTACTATTGCCAGTCCAGTAACTTGATCATCTCATGTTTTCAGGTGATTTTCAAGCAGATTAACTACAATCAATTCATATGAAAGTGCAAAACAATACCAAGTTGAAGGGTTTTGAGAGTA